GGTGTCCGAAGAATCAGAATAAGTGTTGGAATAAGATAGGATCTCCTCCTCCAGCTACTTCGAAGAATGAAGTATTAAAGTTTCTATCTGTTAATATCATTGTTATACCACCAGCTAATACAGGTAATGATAATAATAATAATACAGCTGTAATAACTACAGCTCACCCAAATAATGCTAATTTGTGTAATTTTATACCAGGTGTTCTCATGTTAGCTATAGTAGTTATAAAGTTTATAGCACCTAATAAACTACTTACCCCTGATAAGTGTAATGCAAATATTGCTAAATCTACACTAGGTCCACTGTGACTTTGTAATCCAGATAAAGGAGGATAGATTGTTCATCCTGTTCCTGCTCCACCTTCTATACATGCAGAGAATATTAATAACATTAAACTAGGAGGTAATAATCAGAAACTTATATTATTTAATCTAGGGAAAGCCATATCAGGTCCACCTACCATTAATGGCATTAGGAAATTTCCAAATCCTCCGATTAATGCAGGCATAACCATAAAGAATATCATTAATAAAGCGTGAGCTGTAACGATACTGTTATATAATTGGTTATTTGATATGAATTGTACTCCTGGACCACTTAATTCTAATCTTATTAATACTGACATAGCAGTACCTAATAATCCTGAGAATAAAGCAAATATTAAGTATAAAGTTCCTATATCTTTAGCGTTAGTTGAATTAAATCATCTTTCCATACCCATTGATATTTCAGATCTTAAATTTAGGTTTGTGGTACCTTCTAATTTCAAAATTACGAAGTAATAGAGTATTGTTTCTTTAAAAATTGTTATTAATATTATTAACAACTGAGTGAACAAATGTGTTCTATTTTAAATTTTTAGTATAAATTTACATTAAATAAAATTATTTTAAAAAGCCAAAGCTGCCTTTATTTAATAATAAATATATATTATACTCCGTTTTAATACTTTAAATTAAATAGTGAATTAAATTGACATTATATATGAATATATTCTATATTAAAAATATAGTAAATTATTTAATATAATAAGTATTAATAAAAATTTTATAGTTAAGTTTTAATTGTATTGTATTTTATTTTCAATACCAAGATTATGGAGGAATTGAACCTCGTACTAATGATTTGCAATCACAGTGTAAATCCGTTTACAGCATAATCTTTTTATATATCTTAAGAAAAGATTATATAAAATTGTGTATATCACTAATAGATCTATTATCTTGATTTATTATTTGTTTGATATAAGTCCATTAAAGTGTTTTCTATAACACTAACAACAGGTACTAAGATGAAGAAGTGAGCAAAATATAATGCTGTACTTATTTGTCCAAATTCTATAAATGGACTTTCAACGTGTTTTGCACCTAATTGTTGTAATATTAAGAAGTTAGCTAAGAATACATAGAATAAGATTTTACTTAAAGGTCTGAATTGTAAACCTCTAGTTCTACCTAAATCTGTAAATGGTAAAGCTAATATAGCAACTAATGAAGCGAACATTGCTACAACACCTAATAATTTGTTAGGTATAGATCTTAATATAGCATAGAATGGTAATAAATATCATTCAGGTACTATAGCAGCTGGTGTTTGCATAGGGTTAGCCATAATATAATTTTCGCTATCTCCTAATACATTAGGCATAAAGAATACGAACATACTTAATACAAAGAAGAAAATAAATATTGTTATTAAATCTTTGAATAAGAAGTATGGTGCGAAAGGTACTCTATCATAGTATCCTGGTACTCCTAATGGATTACTTGCTCCAGCTGTTTCGTGTACAGCTATTAAATGCATTAAAGCTAATGCAGCTAATACGAAAGGTAAAACAAAGTGTAATGCGAAGAATCTGTTTAATGTAGCATTATTAACAGAGAAACCTCCTCATATAAATTCAACGATGTCTTGTCCTATTCATGGTATAGCACTTATTAAGTTAGTAATAACTGTGGCTCCTCATAAAGACATTTGTCCATAAGGTAACACGTATCCTAAGAAACCTGTACCCATCATAAGGATTAATATTATTGCACCTATTACTCATGCTAATGTTCTAGGAGCTCTGTAAGATCCGTAGTATAATCCTCTACCCATGTGTAAGTACACTAAGAAGAAGAAAGCTGATGCAGTGTTACTGTGTAAGTAACGAACTAATCAACCATTGTTAACATCACGCATTATGTGTTCTACAGAGTTAAAGGCTTCTGCTACACTCGGGTTATAATGCATTGCTAATGTTACACCTGTTATTATTTGTATTCCTAAACATAATCCTAATAATGAACCAAAATTTCATAAGTAGTTTATATTACTAGGTTGTGAATGATCTATTAAGTATGCGTTAAACAACTTTAAAAAAGGATGACTTTTTAATATTCTCATAGTTTTATTTATAAATTTAATTAGATTTTTAATGTATATATATATTATATTTAAAAACTTATATTTTAAACATAAAAACTTATAACCTACGTAAGCTATATAAACATTTTGTTTAATTATACATTTAAAGATATTTAATAATCTGTGATGTATATACTGCATATTATGCAAAGAATAATTATTTTTATTTTTTCATAAGAAGTTAGATTAAGCTTCTTTACCTACGTAATTGCTTATTCCTAATAAAACTGCTACACATGTTACTGTTATAACATTTACTAAGTCTAAATATACTGATACGAA